TTCATTCTGTTATTTTCGAATTAGGACTGTTAGAAACCACAAACTCTCTGCTTGGCTTGACTTAGTGAATTCCCATCATATCTGATCTGTTTGCATCACACTAGATTTTGATTGACAACCCTAAAATACTACAACGACACGATAGTGTTTTAGGATTAATTGAGAAAAAAACTTATTATCAATTTGGCGCCGTTGCCAGTTTAGTGTTTGTTTGCTATATTTGAGATCATTAGAATCGTTAAGATCAAGTTCGTTTTTGTTACACAAGATACTGACATTGTGTTTTTCTATCTGTGTTTCAGGTACTCACAGCAACCAGCTTTATAGACTCATCTCTGATTGGTCTGCTAAAGCCTTGCTGTTACCTGTTATATGCATACACGGTCAAGAGGAAATCAGAATCTCCTTTTCAACGATAACATCGACCGTATCGCTCGCCAACTAAGAGAACATACACAACAGACACAATGGCTGACATTGTAGATGACCAAGACCAACTGAACAACATTGGTGCTGGTGACTTTCCACACAATCACAACCAGCGTCATGGAATTGTTCCTCCACCAGTCCAGAACAACAACTTTGAGATCAAGAGCGGTCTCATTGCAATGGTTCAGGGGAACAAGTTTCACGGCCCTGCCAATGGTAGGGATCCGCTTTGATCATCCTTGACGAGTTTTGAAAGGCTCTGTGGCCTTACTAACATAATGCAATGTAGAGTAGTGAAGATGTTTCTCACGCTTCGCTTGTTTCCATTCTTCACTTGGCGGACAAAGCCCATCTGTATGGAAACGACGCTACCCCAGGGTTCCATAACACCCTTGGGATGACTTGACAAAAAGCTTTCTTGGCTAAATTCTTCTCCAAACTCCAGAACAGCAAGACTCCGGAATGAGATATCCGGATTCATCTCAGAAGAATGCTGAAACCTTCTGATGAAGCATGGGATTGCTTCAAAGGTTATCAGCCAAATGCCCTCATCACGGCTTTGGAAAAGCTTCTCTTCTCAGCACACTCTACAGAGGCCGTCCTTCCCAAGATAAGGATGCTGCTTGATACCGCTTCCAATGGGAACTTCCTCAACAAAGACGTTGGGTGAAGGATGGGAGCTCGTTGAAACTTAGCTCAGTCGGATGGCAATTACAACGAGGATTATGACAGAAGCATCCGCACCAGTCCTACACTGAGACAAGCAACGCAAAGAGATGAAAGCTCTCAATGACAAACTAGACAAGCTCCTGCAAGGCAACAGGCGCATGTTCACTTCGTCTCTGAAGATGAACAATTCCAAGTCCAAGAGGGGGACAATGATACAGTCTGCTGAAATCAGTTACATTCAGAATCACGGTGGCCTAAAACAAGGGTTACAACAACTACAGACCAAAACCCCGAATCTGTCATACAGAAACACCAACGTTGCCAACCCTCAAGACCAAGTTTATCCTTTTCAGCAGCAACAACAACCCAAACCGTTTGTTCCATATAACCAAGGTCAAGGGTTCGTTCCAAAGCAAGCAGTTCCAGGGAGGAGGATATCAACAACAGCAACCCACCACCTGGTTTCCCATCACAAACAACATCAAGCACATGCACCTCAAGATTCAGACATGAAGACCATGCTCCAGCAGATTATACAAGGTCAAGCTACAGGAGCAATGGAGATTGCCTAAGAAGATGGCTGAGTTAAACAACAAAGTCGATTGCACCTTCAATGACCCTAAACAACAAGTTCGAATCACTGAGCACTAGGATGAGATATCTGGAAGGCCCAATCCTATTTTAACATCCATTTCCAAACACCCCAGGCCAACTTCCAGGAAAGCAATCCAGAACCCAAAGGAGTATGCCACTGCTCATGCTATCACTATCTGCCATGATCGAGAGCTGCCAACTCGACATGGCCCTAACTCATCACTGGGACAGTTGTAGATGAAGAGATGGGGATGAATTTTTGTCAGAATGAAGTTCTAGCTGAAAAAGCAACAGAGGAGCCGATACTCGATCTTGATAACTCGATCACCAGCTCAGGAAGCACCTCCTTCTGTTTGAAAAACCAGCCGCTACTAATACTAAAAAGCAAGTCTTTGTCCCCCACCTTACAAGCCTCCACTCCCATTCCTGGGTCGATTCAAGAAGGCTCTAATACAGAAATACAGGGCTCTCTTAGATGAACAACTGAAAGATCTTGAAGAAACCATGCCTCTAGCTGATTGTCTTGCTCTAATACCAGATTCCCACAAATAGGTGAAGGATATGATCACAGAGAGAATCAAAGAAGTTCACGGAAAGGTGGTGTTGAGTCATGAGTGCAGTGCAATCATCCAAACGAAGATTAATCCCAAGAAATTGGGAGATCCTGGTTCGTTTACCTTACCTTGCTCGCTAGGTCCTTTATCCTTCAGTAAGTGCCCTCTGTGATCTAGGTGCTTCTATAAGTCTCATGCCTCTCTCCGTGGCCAAGAGACTAGGTTTTAGCAAGTATAAATCTTGTAACATCTCCTTGATCCTAGCTGATAGGTCTGTTAGACTACCTCATGGGTTATTAGAAGATTTGCCTATTAAGATTGGAAATGTTGAAGTCCCCACCGACTTCGTTGTGCTTGAGATGGATGAAGAACCTAAGGATCCTCTGATTTTAGGAGACCTTTCTTGGCCTCAGTGGGAGCTGTGGTAGATGTCAGAGATGGGAAAATTGATCTCAACCTTGGGAGGCATGTCAAGTTACAATTTGACATCAACAAAACTCCAAGAAGGTCAACAATAGAGGGAAAGACTTTTGAGATCCGAAGAGCGGTTCAAGGAGAAGGATTTGAGACTGCAAGAGTAAAGGAACACACTATAGCGCAAACTAGACTTTCAAGTTCGATTACTCGATCGAGTACACTCTCAGCACCCGATTGGCTAGAACTCAAAAGAAAGTCTGATCTCCAAGAAAGAACCATACAGAAGCTGGCATACACTGTCAAGGATCTGAGAGACACATTGAGTCAAATTCAAAGGGGAGTTCGACTTGAGCTCAACATTGACATTACATCAAGAGGGAAAGTCACTTCGAAATGGTCAGAAGAAGACTACCCACAAGAGAGGATATCTCATTTCATCTCCATAAACCTCCCTAAGCCTAATAAGTGTGAGGAGTCAAGCTAGAGACTTAAAACAAGCTCACTTGGGAGGAAGTCCCATGTCTATCTTGTACAAATTTTATTTTTCCTTGTTGTTTTGATGCATTTTGTTAGTGTCTTCAGTAGATAAGTATGAAGAGCTGAGTGAAGTGGATTCTGGAGACTCTCACAAATCCAACAGATATGGCGATGAGGAATGAATCCGAAGCATATCATAAATGGGTACATCTCTCGGGTTTAGAAGAAAAATACTTGAAGCAAAAGTCGAAGCTACATTGGCTAAAGGTTGGAGATGGGAATAATAAGGCGTTTTACAAAGCAGCAAAAATTCGAGAAGTGAGAAACGCAATAAAAGAAATCAAATGCTCTGATGGTACCATCGTAGATACTCAAGAAGAAATTAAGAAGGAAGCAGAAAGATTTTTCTGTGAGCTCCTAACCCATAGGCCAGGCCACTATCAAGGTATGTCAGAGGAGGATTTAAATGATCTAGTATCTTACCGTTGTTCTGAAGCAGAGAAACTGAAACTGGTTAGGGAAGTGTCTGAAGAAGAAATAAAAGAGACTCTGTTTGCAATGCCAAAAGACAAAAGCCCGGGGCCGGACGGTTTTACAGTGGAGTTTCTAAAGGAAACATGGCCGATAGTAAAGAAAGATTTTGTGGTAGCAATTCAATCTTTCTTCCTATATGGTTTCATCCCTAAGGAGTGAACACAACCATTATAGCGCTTATACCAAAGAAGAAAGAAGTAAAGGAGATGAAGGACTATCGACCCATTTCTTGTTGTAACGTGACATACAAGGTAATATCGAAGCTTATTGCCAACAGACTTAAGCTTCTCCTCCCCGCTTTTATTTCACCGAACCAGTCAGCATTTGTCAAGGATCGATTACTGATGGAAAATGTTTTATTGGCTTCTGAGGTAGTCAAAGATTATCACAAAGAAACAGTTTCTTCTAGGTGTGCAATGAAGATTGACATTTCAAAGGCTTTTGACTCTGTTCAGTGGCCTTTCCTCATGGCCATTCTCTCGACGTTAAATCTTCCCCCAGCAGTTTATTAAATGGATTGAACTATGTGTCACATCGGCTTCTTTTTCGGTTCAAGTGAATGGTGAATTGTCCGGTTTATTTCGAAGTGAAAGGGGACTTAGACAAGGCTGCTCATTGTCTCCGTATTTATTGTCATTTGTATGCATGTGCTGTCAAAAATGATAGATAAGGCTTCCTTGAAGGAAAAATAGGCTACCACCCAAGGTGTCAAAAGCTACAACTCACACACTTGTGTTTTGCAGATGATTTGTTGGTGTTCACAGATGGGAAAAAAAGTTTGGTAGAGGGCATTCTTACGAACTTCGACAAGTTTGCGGAGTTCTCGGGTCTAAAATAAGTCTTGAGAAATCGACGTTGTATATGGCAGGGGTAAGAGACGTAGATAAGGAGGAAATTCTACACTCTTTCCCGTTTGATTCTGGTTCTCTACCTGTCCGTTATCTTGGCCTACCTCTCTTAACCAAAAGGATGACGCTAAATGACTACACTCCCCTGCTAGAACGAATTCGGGAACGTATTAACAGCTGGATAGCTAGGCAACTCTCTTTTGCAGGTCGTCTCCAACTCATTGCTTCGGTAATTCACAGCCTCACGAATTTCTGGATGTTCGCTTTCCGACTACCGAGTTCATGTATTAAAGAGATAGACAGTTTATGTTCTGCTTTTCTTTGGTCGGGACCAACTTAAACAAAAAGAAGGCAAAAGTTGCGTGGATCGATGTGTGTACTCCCAAGGAAGAGGGAGGACTAGGACTGAGATCACTAACAGAAGCAAACAAGGTGAGCTGTCTCAAACTCATTTGGAGACTGTTGTCATCGAACTCTCTATGGGTACAGTGGCTGCGACTTTACTTACTTCGAAAAGGATCTTTCTGGTCAATACGAGAAAGCACAACGTTGGGATCTTGGATGTGGCGAAAGCTTCTGAAATATCGAGGTATAGCATCAGATTTTGTCAAGTATGCGGTGCAGAATGGACAGAGCACTTCGTTTTGGTACGATAATTGGTCTGCATTAGGGTGTTTAATGAAGACTATAGGCCAGCGAGGCTGCATTGACATGGGAATCGGAATAAAATCAACAGTGGCTGAAGCTATTACAACCCACAGAAGACGGAGACACAGGACTGTCTTTTTAAACCAGCTGGAAATAATAATGGAGGGCATTCGCATTCAAGGGCTGTCCGAAACAGAGGATCAAGTGTTGTGGAAAGGAACAGGAGATCAGTTTCAGGAAAAATTCAGCACAAAAGAAACATGGGAGGCTATTCGGGTTGCGAAGCCAAAGATCGAATGGTACAAAGGTATATGGTTCTCACACGCCACACCTAAGTACTCATTCATCGCTTGGCTTGCAACACTAAACCGTTTAACAACAGGGGATAGAATGATGCATTGGAATGTGGGAGCAAACTCCTCTTGTGTTCTCTGCCATCATCAGTTGGAAACCCGTAATCATCTTTTTTTCGTGTGTCGCTATTCAAGGGAAGTCTGGACTGCTCTCGTCTCCAAGCTCCTCTCCATGCGATTCACAACAAGATGGAACAACATTATTCATCTTCTCACGGAAAACTCCCTGGGACATGATCGATTATTTCTTGTGAGGTATTGCTTCCAAATTTCATTACATGCTATATGGGTGGAACGAAACAATAGAAGACATGGGGAAATTCAAATTCCTGCGGGTCAGCTAGCCAAGCGATTGGATAAGCAAGTTCGGAATAGAATTTCATCGATTCGAGAGCATGGGGATAAAAATTTGAAGGTTGTATGGTGACTTGGTTCGCATCAAGATAACCACAAAACCTTCACAAAT